CCTGCTCGGCTGCTGACAGTGACTAGGAAGGTGCTTGGTTTTGGTTTTCAGTGCAGATCTTTTTTGCGGCCAGGCACCCTAGGGTCAGCCTCTCTGTCTGATTTTCCCTTCCAGAGCATGCTGTCTGCTTTCAGCCTTGCTTGTTATTGCTGCAGAGCTACTTCTGGTCGTGCTCGTACCTTGGGGTGCAAGGAAGAGGTTGAAACCTCAGAAGAGGTAAATGGTTTGATTTCTCTAAGGTCTTATTAGGAAGGCCCGTTGCCGAGCAGCCTTCCTGTGCCCTGGCTCAGCGCTACGTCTGAAAAGGCTGTAACACAAGTTGCACTAACACAGCTTGGATTTTCTGTTCCCCTTAGAGAGTGTGGCTCTGAGCAGGAGGGGTCTCTGACCCCTGGAGGGGTCCAGCATGCGAAGGACCGTCCCACAGGGTTTCAGAGCTCAGGATGGCCCCACCGACTTCTCCCTTTGCAGGCGACTGACTCGTTTGCGATGAGCAGTGATGATCTGACCTTTTGTGCTCTCATTTCTTGTGTTTTATCACCAGGTAAAGCACTTGTACTGTAAAATCCAGGATTTCACAGAGCTGATAACGGCTGCAAAATCAAATATAAAAATAACTCCTCAAGTGCAGCGATATATAAATCATCGGTAGCACAGTCACAGTGCGGGCTCGCACTTCCAGCTGAGGAAAAGTCCTCAAGGTCCCGACAGAGCAATCAAGACAAGATTGCAGGGTCGAAAGCGGATGAGGGATGTGATGAGCTGTAAATCCTATGGAGCTGATGGGGCCGGCAGCAGCAAGAGGAGGCTGTGCCTCTCCCCAGTTTTGGTCTGGCTGTGCCCACGCAATGTCTCGCGTTGTTCTTGGTGACTTTCCCTTACAAGCGAAGGGAAGAGAAATGGGCAGGCTGGTCCGGACACAACCGCCAGCCTGCAGCCCCCAAGAATCACACCGGCAATCGTTTCTGACTGCAGGAACCTGCTGCAGAGATGCTAGATGGACTGGCTGGGTTGGTGGCTTGTTAATTCAGTCGAATTTATTTTGTAATTTAGGACTCTTAGCAGTTTGAAACAATCATTTCATGTGAATGAGGGGCTTACAGCAGAGCCGAGTTTAGCAGTTTGAAACGATCATTTCAAACGAGGTCGGTGCTTGTGAATGAGGGGCTTACAGCAGAGCCGAGCTCCTGTGGCGCTGCATGGGGGACTGGTGTACACGCGGGACCTGAATCCAAGAGGGCAAACTCGGCGATTTCCCACAGCCCAGGGGAAATCGGTGGGACCCTGAGTCCTTGCGCAGGCTGCCAACCGGACCGGTGTTTTCAGAGGTGCTAACACCTTTGAGGGTGCTGCGGGTGCCCTGTGCGGGGAGGAAAGGAAGACAGTTTGCAGAGCAGGACAACTTGCTTCGCCACGCTTCTCTGCTTGCACAGTGCATGGGTGAAGTCCTCGGGGAGGATTTTGTTGACAGATCTTGAGAGAGCATCTCAGACCAGAGCTGCTCTGGAGGACACTGTCTCCATCCCCTGCATGCTCCATCCCTTGGGCATGCCGAGTGACTCAGAAGTCCCTGGAGATGTGCCCAGTGTGCCTCTCTCCCCAGTTTTGTGGCCTCTTTTTTTTTCTTGTGCTGCTGATGAAATCCCAGTGTGGGTAGTGTCTGCCACTGCTGTCCGGGTGTCGAACTCCGGGGGGTTTTGGTGGTGGGGGGGAGAGGTTGTAACACTGATGACGTTAGTGCTGCAAGACAAAAATCTTAACACAAGCCCATCTAATGGGGACTCCGCTCTCTGGAGGGTTATTGCTGCGGTACAGTTTGGATGTGGGTATCAATCGCACTTTCAGAGATGCACGTCTTGCCGAAGGGTGGCGGGACAGGCTTTGGGGGGTGGTTTGAAGTCACGCACAATTTTTGCCTTCCTCTGTGAAGGCTGTGAGATACCTGAAGTGTCACCCAAGGAGACTGCTCCTCTTTCGGGTATGGATTCCTAAATTCCTCAATTTAAATGCAAATTTGCAGCCGTTTGATTATGCTATGCATCAGAGATGCTTTTGGACAGTGAACAGCTTGTAATAATCAGCTATGCACCCTTCAATACAGATATTATCTGCTGTTGCGATATCATGGCTGCGTGCCTCTGCAGAAAGCAGAGTGGTTCAGAACAACCCTCCTTTTCCCTCTCTCTATTTTCGCTTCCATTGAAAATTGCTCTCATTACCTCCCTGAAACCTTTTTAATCAACCTGGACGGCACAATCTGCTTTGCAATAACAGGAATAATGTTTTTGGCGGTGCTTTGCATGGTAATGCTCTTCTCAGCCTGAAATGCTGCTATTCAGAATGACTGCTGCTTCAGGAAGGGCTTGTATTTCTTCTTGACACCTTAGTCTTCTGTAACCAGAACGTTTTTTGTTGGGAGGCTTATAATTGCCTGACTTATAACTTCCTTATAGGAAAAGGGAAGGGGGAAAGCAGGATCAGTGTGGCACAGGAGTGTGTGTGCGTTAGTTGCGGCACGGCCCACGGGAAGCTCGTCCTGGTTGGGATCTCCGTCCTGGGATATCTTCCAGGATGAAGCCCTGATCTTGTGTAGTGAGAGCACGGGTGACGCTGGGATTTCCTACACCCTTCTGCAACACACTTCCCTGCCCATCAAGTTGCTCAAGTTAATAGCATTTGACTTTTAATCAAGCCCATTAGAGTTGTTGCCACACTTGAGCATCCTATTTAAGCAATCATCACTCTCGCCCACTCCCTTCCTTTTCTTAGGAGCTTCTCAGGTATTTGCATCTCGTCGATGCGAAGGAAAGTCCTTTTGACGTGGTTACTTGGCACCAAGAATACGAAAACTGCAGTTAATTCTCATTTCACGCTTGCAGCCGGATTGGGTTGATTTTTGAATCGCCGCTGCGGGTTCTCAAATCTTTCATTAGCTAATGCTTGATTCATTTAGTTCAGTAATAAAAAGTAATTGCTTGTCTAAACAACCAGACACCGCTTCTCCGTGGCCTGTAATTCTCTACCAAGTAGCCCTGTTTGCAGCAGGGAAACCAAAATCTGCTGCAATCTGCACAGAAACTGAAGTGGGGAGCTCGTGAAGTCGAATGAAGAACATGAAGAATCCACTTTGCTCCATACGCTTTAAACTCAAGTTGTTTCTCTTTAAGCTCTAACTTTGTCATAATGACTTAACAGACTGTTTGGTGCTATGGAAACCCCAGTTTACACACTGGTGCATAGCTGCAAGCAATTAACTATCTTTAATTTTCATTTTCTGAGGATATTTTTGACTTGTGTATTAAGCAAACATTTATGCAAAACACTGTGGAATCCATAAATGTTAATTAAGCTGAACTTGTGTCTTTGCCATAGCAGATAATCAGATTGATGGGTTCACTGAAGCCTGCGAAACTTGCCGTGGTGGCTGAGAGCAGCTATAAAAAAGACGCAACCGGGCAGGTGACAACAAGGCTCTGCTCTTTGGGTGTCACCTTTAGCGTGCTGGTGCTTGGTCCTGCTTTCACCTGGTGTGTCTTGGCTTGGCCAGATGCGGATCCAGGTTTCGCCCTGCGAGTGACACCGGTGGGTTTTGCAGGCACAGTGTCAACTCTGCAAATGTGCAACGAGTGGCAAAGGCCTCAGCTGGGGAAGGAGGATGCTGAGAGTTAGAGGAGAGCTCTGCAGTACTTCACCAGGCTGCAAATGCGGGGAATAATCCCTTTATCTGTCCCTCCTTTGTAAAACAACCACCTTAAATTCTCCCCAGAGCCTCAGCTCTGACCCAAACCCACCAGGTAGCTCTTGATTTTGGGGGTTTTCGTATCGGATTGCAGATGGAGGAAATGTGCAAACTGGGATGAACCGGGTCACGAGGAATTTGCATTGCCCCATACCATTTCTGCAGCGGATTGCTGTGGCTGATGAGTATTTTTTATAACCAATCAGCACATTCTCATAGCTTTTATCTAGTGTGTGTGTGTGTGTGTGTGCAGGTGCATTTAGGAACAGGTACGAACCCTTCTGGGAAAGGTGATGCACTGATGCTGATAAGTAAAATGACCCCTCATTTGGACCTGACGTGCTGAATCCTGCTGTAAAGGAGGATCTGCTCCCGGGTTCCCGCTGTGGGGAAGCTTGGCTGGAAGCAGATGCCTGCACGAAGCACGGCACAGCAGCAGCGCGTGACGCTGTTTATTCCTTCTTTCCCTTTTGCATGATAAAATAACCCATGACAAAAAATAACAAGAGCTTAATAGGCACATGGGACAGGGCCTTTGGCAGCGATGCCAATCAGCTGTGCCTCTGCAATGCTCCTCTAATTAAAAACTGCAAATTACAGCTGGCTGGAGCTGATTGCAAGGGCTGGCTGGGTTGGGGGCTTTGCTCTGGGAGGTGAAGCGTGGCTGGTTGCTCCTCACACTTTCTCTCCCATCATCAGGGTGGTGAGGCCTTGGAAAGCCAAGGATTGTGCTGTCCCGGTGCCTGCCCCAGCGGAGCAGCGGGGTTTGGGGAAGTCCAAACCAGAAAGCGGAGCCAAGTGTGTCAGCTGCTTCGTCAAGGGAATCGCACCGCCTCGCAGCCAGCTGAATAAGTGAAAATGCCGGCGCTGATGCACGGTACTCGAGTCACACGTCTGCTTCAGCTCCGCGCAGAGAAGCGAGCGGCCGGTAAGTCTTGCCCGTGTTCAAGGAGCGATTCGAGCCTTTCTCGTGCTTTGGGAATCGGTGATACGCGGCCAGTCCCAGCTTTGTGGATGGCTGAGTTTTGAGGGCTCTGCTTTTTCTTGCTGTAGTTTTGACGTTTCAGAGCACCCCTCACACCGAAGGTCCCCCCAAACCCACCGGCGACCTTTCACCCCTCTTATCACCTAGTTTTGGCTTTGCCATATTTCACCGCGTCCTGGTTTCGGCACGGCACACTGCTTCTCCTCCTGCTCCCACCAAGCCACCAGTTGCTGCCTCTCATCATTGCGGGCTCATTAACGGCATGACCTCACAAAAGAAACATTTATTTATGAAAATCCATTTGGACAAACCCGACGAACAGAGAGAGACCATTTTGGGGAGGAGGGTTGGACTTTTTCCTCTGTAGAGATGCTACTGTGGGAAGAACTTCACGCAAAGCTCCTATCAGCTGCCCCACACACCAAATACCAAACCCCAGACGTACGTCGCAGCCCATCTCGTCCCCTCGCTCCCCTCCTGGCCCCAACTGTATCATATTGCACAGAATCAGGAGCCTTTTTGTCTGGGATGGAAAGTTTAAGGGCAGAGACACACGAGAGTCATCTCTCATCCTCAGCTGCTCTTGGGACTCACTGTCCCTTCTCCAGGGTGCCGCGATTGCCGCGTTTAACTGATGAGTGTGATTTAGCTTCCAGCAGAGATGGTATTTTGGGTGGATACGCCACAGGAAAAGGGGCTATTTGCGTGTTTATAAGTGCTGTATCAATTATTCAACTGGAGACAGGTTTTTTGGGGCAGGATGTTGTGTTCGGTAGATGATTAACAGACTCCTGAAGCCTGAGAGGTGTTTGTTTGTTTTTTTTTTTCTAATTATAATTATTATTTTAACGGTAAGCAAAAGCTAGGAGCTCTTGGGCTGGGCGCTTTGGTTGTGTGATCTCGCAGGAGGGCTCTGGCTAGGACACAGCAAGCTAAAAAAAACGCCAAACCTGTCAGCCCTGCGGAAATACGCAGCAAATAGCGGATACTCTGCTTCCATCCCAAGTCGCTACCCATTGGCAGATGCGGTGTGCTCGGCTGGGCCACGCAGCAACTGCATCCCTCGAGGGACAGCAAAATAAAAATAATAATAAAGATAAGTGGTGGGCGGGCAGCCTTTTGCGTGTCTACCGGCAGTCCCGTTACAAGCACTACAAAAAAATGGGGAGCGGTACCGGCTGCTGTGCTTTGACTTCCACGTTTGCAAAGCTGTCTAATTTTTATGGCAAGCAGGGATCTTGCTTGGCTTTTGCTGTTTTTTGTTTTGAGCTGGTGGGAGATAAATGGTTACACATGAAAGGGGGTGTGAATGTTGTATTTTGGAGTAATTGAGCAGACCTCGAGGTATGTATGGAGATGGGGATTTGCTGCTCCGTGCTCCCGCTGGGAGCTAGGTGGGAAGAGCAATTTCTGAGTGCCAGGAAGAAAACCTGAGCTTATATCAATCCCCAGGGGGTAAGGAGATGGCTTCAGGCTGGGATTTGGGTTTCGGAGCTCCCTTCTGCAATGATTTTGGCTTGGAGTGCATTGTAATTGGGCTTAGGCAGCTCCCCTTAATGATGGTGGGAGTTATCTGTATGCCTCCAGGGAGGAGATGGCAAAGGGATGTGTGCAGACCTGCTGAGTGATTCTCTCCAGATACTATTATTTTGCATTTCAGAGAGCCAAGAAAGAGACAAAGAAACTGTCTCGCTTTGCAATTGAATTTCTAGTCAGAGATCTGCAAGCAAACCAGGGAAACAGGCTTAATAAACCAGAAAAAGCCTCTGTATTACAGCTGACCTGTTTGAAGGGAGAGCTGGAAATAGTGCAGAGACTGGACTCACCATATGGTTAAATGTCCCATCCCCAAGCCTGGGCAGGGGTGTCTTGTTTTAGGCTTTTCAGTCTTCAAAAGAAGACTTCTCTGAGGCTTTTGCATGCACAGAGCATCCCAAGGTTGGTGAAACCAGCTAATGTTGTCTGATGTACGTCACGTGCGTGGACGCGGACCCGACCCAAACATCCCATCTTGCGGGTTGGTGTAGATCCTAAACGTGAAAAGAGCCTCGTCCCTGTTCCTGCCTTCACTGATAAAATAACTTGGCACTTGGAGGGGGGAAAGGAAAACCCGGGTTTGGGCGTGTTGTACCCATTTACACAGAACATTCTGGTTTTCCTGCATTGCTCTCCATCTGTTGAATGATCCCTTGACACGTTCCCATCAGCTTGGGCGTCCCAGGCCGGCTCCGCCGCGGTCATTGGCACTATTTATAACAGGTGGGAATTTTTCCCACTTTATTTCAAGAGAGAGTTTTCCATAAGATGCACAAGAAGCATTTTGGGCTGTGAACTGTCAGCTTGAATTGAAGCCTCCATGTACACCCTTGGGGTTATCCCATGTTTCAAGCTGAGCATTGCCTGTGAGAAGACAGTTGTCATTTCTCTGCACGTCTCGTGATCGCAGCATCCTTGGGGCATAAAACATGGAGGACAAAAGGGCAGCGTGGTTATATATATATATAAACCCCCCCCAATATTTTTTTTTTTTATCTTTTTTTTTTTTCTTCTAAATGCTGACTTCTGTAGGCTCACAACCTGACACAAACTCTTGTGCGTGGGGTGTACGGAGCAGATCTCTGCTTGCCTTATTCGGCTCGCTAGACCATTTCGAGATACTTGGTTTCATTTTAATTTTGCATTTGAGTTGGCGGCTGGGAATAAATCAGAATTTGGCTCTGGTTTGTAGCGCCTTCTCGTGTATTGGCAGCACAGCTCCTGTGGAGTTGGTGGGAAAAGTTTCCTCGTCCAACCTTTGCCTTAAAACCCTTGGCATCGCCCGTCCCTTCGATCGCTGCTGCCTGGGGCTGGTGGTTTTTTGCAAAACCAAATCCCCAGGCAGGCTCACGCCATTCCCCCTTCTCCACGCTGCAGGGTCATGGGAAGCAGCGGCAAGGGAATAAGGCGACAAGAACGGTGAGAAGTTTAAGCAGGAAAAAAAAAAATAGGTTATTCCAGCGTGTGCGTGAAGCACGCGGCAGTTTGTAACGTGGCGTAGTTGCAGCAGTCGGGAAGAGCGTGGAAGTGGCTGGAAGAGCTGCTCCTCACTGATGGCACTTGGTAGGATTTTGGGTAAAAATGAAGATGATTGTTCTTGTCAATCTGGTTTTGCAGCCATTTTGTTGCTCTTGGATCCATCTATTTGCCCATTCATTTAATTTGTGCTGGCGTCATTGCTTAAATATGTGTATTTTTATCTCCAAGAACCATCGTGGCTGGGGATTTATTAATGACTGGATCTTCCAACAGCCAGTTTGGAGGCTGAATAGTTGAAAAGCTCCAAAAGTCATCTCTGCTTTACTTCCAGAAATTGCTGTGTGCTCAGCAGGGTCTGATGTTCGGCTTGCTTTAAAATGAATGAGCCATTTCCTTGCCCTGTACAAATCTGTCATGCATCTCTCCAGCATTTCTATCTTGCAGTGAATCCACTTTAGGAGTCCGATTTCTACACCAAAAGTGAGAGACTGGACCAGCAGCAAGGAGCAGTCGATACAGCTGCCCCCAAATTGCCCCCAAACTTGTGGGTTTGTTCCCAACAAGCCAAGGTTGCCCGCTTCTCATTTTATTTACTTTTTTTTCCCCTTTGAGTGTATGTTCATACATTTGCTGACCAAAGGAGCCCTTGGTATGAATAGCCCCAGTGAAAATTATCCATAACAGGACTAAAATATTAGATATATCCATGTACACATCATAAACTTAATGTTTTATGCAAAAGACGGGGATGAAAAGAAAAAAAAACTTTCCCTGGTTAAAACAAAATCCAGAAAGTGGAAGTGAATCATTTCAACCCTCCTCTGAGTAAAAAATGTCTGCAAAATTCTTGTCTCCCTTCAAGCCTTGTATGCTGGCAAAACTTTGTTTTTCTGTTGGAATCCTACCATGCCCCTTTCTGTGCAGCTCTAGACATTTCCAGGTTGTGAAAAACATTTCATATGGTCAGTCTCTTGTTCTCCAGACCTCCACAGGCTTCCAAAATCTATCCAAGAGACATCTCCTTGGACCTTTTAGGAAATCACAGTGATTGCTTTTGGCACATACAGTTGATTAAGAGCAACCAAAGTCTGGCTCAGTTCAGAAATCCTTCCTGAGAGCCCTGTTTCGATGAGCTGTGTTGTGGAGTGGCAACAGAAGACCGTCGCGCAGAGGGATGCGGGTGCTGGAGATGAGTTGAGACTGTGCAGAAATGCCTGGATCTGAGTTGAAGAGCCGAGTGGCTGGTGGTGCCCCGTGGATGTACAGGCTCCTGAAGTTGAAAACAGCATTTTTTGCTGGGTTTTTGAATTGAATACCCCTCTGGATATTCAACCGAGAGTGACAGGGAGAATAAAATTAAAGGTGGGAGGAGGAGAGTGCAAGACTGGTTCATTTTCCTGTGGGGTGGGATGCACTGGGGAGATCCCTGCTGCCTTGCAGAGAGCAGGGAAGCGCCTGCCAATGTTGTACTTATGGTTTAAGAGAAAAACCCAGCTCCGTCCCATTTCTGCATCCTATCCACCCGCCCGGTAAGTGGTGGGTTGGACAGGCAGCAAGCAAGGCGGAGGCCAGCCAAACCTCCCTTGTATTCAGACACGAGCCACAGTGGAGCACATGAAACTAATCCAAAGCTTTTGCTCTCGGGCTTGCCCAAGGACGGCGAGCGAGCAGCGCAGCAAGAGACGGTAAAACAGCACGGAAAAAAGCTGGCACATCACAAACCGGGGTGATGATGCTGGATGGATTGAGTGCCGGAGCATCCCAGTGAGGGAAAGGGGATGGTGGCACCCCTGTGAGCGGCTGGCAGAGCCGGGGAGCTGCTTAGGTGAGCGTGTTGGAGTAGAAGCTGAAGCTTTCAGAGACTGTTTTGGAGTCGCTGCGAGAGGAGCCGTTGGATGTCATGTCTACGGAGAGACGCTTGGCCTTGCTGCTCTCCTCCAGCTCCTCTTCGGCTGCGCCAACTGCCGAGGACATGGTGGTCTCTATCCGGCTGACCTTGTACATGCTGCTCTGTGTCTGCAGGTACCTGGCTGACTTCATTTCCAGGCCCTCGTACTCACCGGTGCTGATGAATGGGCACCACCGAAATGCGTGTTTGAACCCCACACGAAACCTGGGGGGATGGAAGAGATGGGGAAAGGCAGCGGTGAGGGATGTGGAGATGGCAAAAGGACCTCGCTAGGAGTGGGAAGACAGAGCTAAGCACTGCTAAACAACAAAAAAAATGCTACTTCTCACTAAGGGGAGGGAAAAACCACTGATAAATCCCAATTAGGAGTCAGGACTGTTTTGATACCTGCCCTCAAATCCCACAGGGGCTTTAGGAAAGACTTATTTAGGTCCCTGCATCTGCTGGAAGCAGCCCCTGGCGCAGGATGGGACAGAACCATCCTGGAAAAACTCTCCCTCCATACTCTCCTCCATCAGACCCCACTGTATCTCCCCCTTCTCCCCTCCCTGCTGCACCAAGATGCTGCCAAAAGTCACTCGAAACCCACCTGTCATTGAGGCAGCAGTAGATGATGGGGTTGTACATGGTGGAGCTCATGGCCAACCACATGATAGCCAGGTAGACCTGCTGGATGAACTTCTGCAGGTACCACTCAGGGTTGAAATACTGCAGGGTGAAGTAGATGTGGTAGGGCAGCCAGCACAGCGCGAATGTGCATACCACGATGATCATCATCTTCACTACCTGTGAGGAGAAGAGAGGGCAGGGAAGCAAAGTCATCTGTTGGACGCCCCATAGGTAGGGTGTCACCCTCCAGAAGGGGACACTTCTTTTTGCCTTGGAGACCTTTCCAACCGGGAACGCATGGTCGACATCTTGGTTAAACCATGCACGTTCATGGAGGAGACACAATCTGGAGGACGCTCTCTGCTCCATTAGCAACAACCATGCAACAAGTCCTGACCCGTTTCCACCCCTAATGAAGTACTTTTGGCTGTGGTTAGTTGGGATTGGGCATGAATGATGGCTCCTACCGTGCTCAAAACTCCTTACCTTCCGCTTAGCCGAGACCTGCTCGTGGTAGCGGTCGGAGTTGTCGCCGGGTATCTCGCTTGCCCAGAGGGTGATGCCGACCACAGTGTAGGCACATCCTATCACCAGAAGCGGCAAGAAGTAGATCAGGATGGTCATGCAGAAGTGATACCTGGAAAAAATGACGGTCGTTGCGTGTGTCCTCTACCTATTCAGTCTCTTTCTTGCAAACTGAGCTTGAAGGCAAAGTGCTTCCCAGGGGCCAAGAGAATTTGGCACAATTCCTGCAGACGTGTTGCCTGCAGAGCTCGGGCCGGGAAGGACTCCCTGCTTTCACCCCAATCTTTTCCAAGCCTCTGCTGCCAGCCTTTGGGATCCTAGCACCCTCCTGGGATGGGATGCAGAGGCCACTGAAGAACTTGTGCTACCTTCATAAGGCAAGGATGTCTTAGCTGAAGTGGCACTACTCTCAATTCTGCTCTATTTACACCCCAGATTATCCTAGAGATGAATGCTTGCTCTTATCACACCTTTTATCTGGCAGTCCTGCAGGAGCAAATGTGGGTTTTTTGACATATAAAGGATGGGAATATTAAGCTGAAGAAATAAAGGCTTTCCCTGAGGGGCAAACACTAGGTCTTGGATGCAGCTTGCCTGAATCCTCGTCCACCATCAGTTTAGCTGGGCTCAGGTGGCTCAAGGCATAACCCCAGTCCCCAAAACCACAGCCTGAACCCTTGTCATGGAGGTTTATTAAAACTTTTCTGTGAATTCAGCGGTCGGGTCAGTTCTCCAGGCTCATGGAAAGGGCAGGATCTTTGTGTCTGTTTATAACAGGTATAAATAAGCCCAAAATCGAATGGGAGGGTCTGGATTAAACTGTTAGCACAGGCTTGAGACTGTTTTGTCATAAAGTCGGTGGAGCCGTGGGAGGGTTCAAAAGACCACGGATTGCAGTGTTCAGTGAAGGATTTGTGTTAAATAGTAGTTGGTTTAAAAAGGAAAAAAATAATGCCGTTTTCAACAAACAGGATGGGGACGGGCGGTTTGACCTTGCAGGTTCCTTCCTACCATCAGAGCTTGCAAAAACCTCTCTCCCCTGCAGAAAGATGAGCAATAGTGGTACAGAAACGCAGACGTCTTGCACAGTGCCAGCTTGCAAAGCATCACGTGTGCCGCCAGATCTGGAGGTAATTTTCTTCCGACAGCTTTAGGGTCTGCCTGCATTTTCGGGGTGTGTGCCCGGCTCGAACGCAAGTTGCTGCATCTGTTCAAGACGGTTCAGGCCCTGTAGCCACGCTCTGCTCTTGCACTCGCTCGTCCTCCTGGGAGCTTTGATTGAATAATGTCTCTAAAGTGTAACGAATGGGTCAGGCTCGTGCCTGGTGCGATTCCCGCAGGGAATGGAGTTGGCCCCAGACCCGTGCTGCCATGCCATCTCCTCCTTGTTTTGTACCTGCAATTTCATTTGGCCTCCTCTTCGCCCAGCGCTAATCGCATTTGAACTGGATTTTGTAGGGCTGTTTTCTATTTTGCTAATTAAAGAGGCGTCTCTGTGGCTCCGCGATGAAGATTTTGTTGTGATTCCCATGTAATGCAGGGTCTTAAACCAGCTGCGAACAGCTGAGAGCGATGCAGAAATGCCCCAGAGGAGCTGTTAGATAATTTAAGCAAGATCGACCCTTATTTTCAAAGCTGCCTGGGCATGGTAGGGACAGAGATTTCCAAAGAGTCCTGGGCCATTTTTTTAATTGGACCCTGAGCGCTGAAAACCGGTTTCCATGTGAAACCATTCGTATGTTATTCTGTCTACAAGAATTGCAGGATCAGAGCACTTAGAGAAGCCTGGGTTTTGTAACTTAAAGGTCTTCGGTGTGGGGATTTAGGGTCTTGTATAGGATGGAGGAGCCTGTAGGAGTTACGGGACAGTGATGTTGGAGGAGGGGGCTGCCATCTCCTTTTGCCTTGCAAAGCCCAGATGGTCGCCGTGGGCTGTTATCTTCCAGAGAGGCTGGCGGGTGGAGCGGCTTTTCCCCTTCCCTTAACAAACCGAAATGGCAGCTAATGAAATTGGAATAGATCAGATATCTATTTCGAAAACAAAAGCGGGAGCGGGAATTGGTGTTTAGCGGTGGCGAGCAGCCGCTGAATCGAATGGAGCTGAATCGCCGGCTCCTGTTGACGCAGGATCTCGCCTGTGCCGAGGTCGTCGTCCGCTTCCCCCCATACGAGCGAGCTGAGAACAGGCACATTTTCCCAGTGAAAACAAACCTCACGTGCACATCCCTGTCTCTGATACCCTCTGCATGCCAGGGTTGTGCTTTCTGGGCTCCGTTTGCCAAGAGAAAGGCCCCCCCCCAGCGTTGGGAGAAGTCCTCTATTTTCACCATGAACTGAAAAAATAATATTATTTTTCATCATGGCATTGCAAACAAGCTGGCTGCTGCTGGCGCCTTCCTTAAATAACCACACCAAGGCCATGTGAGCAGGGGAGGGTGTTTGACAGTGACCCAACCACCTGTCCCTGCAAAGTTATTTTGGGGCGGTAAAATAACATCTCGGGCTCTGCCGGGCTCTGCGCTGTGCAAGCGAGTTTGCGCGGTTTGGAGAGACGTTGCTGAGCTGCAAGTTATTTTCAATCCCTACCAAAAATTTGGGGTTGGGCTATTTAAAAGCTTCTGCTTAGCATCTGCTTTCCCAGCTTTCCTGGCTGCCCTCATCTGTCTGCAGAGGCCCTGGCTCACCGAAGAGCGTGGAATGCTCGGGCTTTGAAGCGGCGCCCAGCTTCCAGCAGCAAATCATTCATAGGTTAATGATGGTATTTTTCTCTTGAATTAGCTATTTGAAAAAATGACGGCCCCGGCGGCAAATGATCTGTCAAAGCCAGGCCCTGAGCCTGGTTGCTGCTTTGGTCCGGGGTGCTCGGCCCCATCCCGGCTACGTGGGCTGTCTAAGCCAGCAGCATTTCTTCACGCTGGCTGTATTTATCACGGTAGCCTGGAATATTTAAGGTTGGAAAACACCTCTGGAGATCAGCTGGGCCAGCCCTGGCTTAGTTCTTTCCATACCTGCCTTGCAATGCAAATAAATAAGATGATAATACATGATGCCGTCCAGCTCTCTGCAACCCGCCACTCGCTGCTGACTGGCAAACTCGTCTCATTTGTCTTGTAGAGAGACCTTCGCCAGGCTCAGGTTGGCTTTAAACACTTCTCCGTGTTTGTGTGTCCCCTGCTTTGGCTTCAGAACAATTTCAGAGCCCTAATTCATTGCTCCACGGGACTGGAGATCACAAATGCCTTTCTCCTCTGCCCCCCCCCCAGCTTTTTTCCTTAACACATGACATTTAACTCACCGCATGACTCCCGGACTTCAAAGAGCAAACCATGGAGGACTGCTGCGCTGGCAGACCAGCGGGGTTGCCCAGACCCTTTGGAAATGCCAGATTTAATTAGCCAGCACCTTAACGGGAACGAAGGAGATTCCTGCTGAGCCCTCCTAGCCCAGCGTTTGCCTCCCAGCCTGAGCTGATGCCACAGAGCCCCTTTTTGTAGCTTGTTTTTTAAGCTGTCGTGCGAATTTTGGGGCATTTGGACTCGGTAAATCCCAAACCATTTTTTTTTTTTCTGTTATTGCCTGGCCAAGATACCCCCAGTAAAACCCTATTTACCTCTTGCAGGAATAACTCTTGCCCCAGGAAGCCTTTAGAGAGATGGGTTGCAGGAAAGGTGCTGCAAAAACCAGAGCCATACCTGCATGTATGAATACGCCCCTGGGGGCAATGCAGACCCCATCCCCACAGCCAAAATATTGTGTCTTAGCAGTTTTACATGGGTTTCCCTCGAGGATGAGCATCCAAGAAGGGCAGGGAGCACGGCACAGCGTGGGGCAACGTTTGGACCGCGAGCAGCACTAAGCTCGTCTTAATTAACCTTAATGTGCCCCAAGATGATATGGATGGAGATCTTGGTACCATCAACTATATAGCGCTGGTCCTCGCTAGGGTAGGGCGAGGATTTCCCCACCCCATGGAGCTTTGAGCCATTCCCGTCCTTCCTCGCTTCCTTTTTTTATACTTTTTTTTTTTTTTTGCGTTTTTTCTGTACGGTGACTTGTCGGAAAAGTTCAACTCACGTTTTTCCGTACACGTTGGTGCCGTGCTCCGGCCATTCCACCAGACACACCAGCCGGCCCGGCAGCTCCTCCATCACCGAGTAGTAACCCTGGGGGAAAGCCAGCAGGAAAGCCAGGAGCCAGATGACGCCGATGACCACCTTGGTGGTGGTGGCCGAGAGCCGGGGTTGCAGCGGGTGGATGATAGCCATGTACCTGCAAGGTGGGAAAAGGAGAAATCAAGGCTGGAAAGCCCCAATGTTGCAGCTTTTGGGGCTGTTTTAGGTCTCCCTTGAATGGGGGTCGTACTTTTGACAGCCCCTTAATGCATCCTGGCAGCCCCTCACGCCGCACAATGCAAACAGCATCAAATAATCTCTTTATGGAGGATTCCCCGACCAATGCTCTAATTCTTTTGCAGCGTCTCTTACCCTGGAGATTTGAATCCCGTTTGAGACACTCATTGACTATTAGCTGAAAAACAGCTTCGCTAACGCAACCAGCAACCGGCTGCTTCTGCAAAGACCAATTTGTACAAAGCCAGCCGCGATGCTGCCGTCTGGCAGCAGCCGCTTTGGCAGCACCCGGTAGTTTTGCACCCGCGCGAAATCATGTCTCGATGGTAGATCACAGTGCCAAGTGTTACAGGAGAAGAACCAAAAATAAGAGTGCTGGACCGGGGATGGGTGATCTGAGATGCCACCTGTATCTGCCCGGCTCCTGGGCTCTTTCCCCCAGACATCAGTTGTCATACGTGAGGAAAGCTCCAGTGGTGACGAGGCAGATTGAATTTATCCCTCTGCAAATCTGGTTTTGCAAAGCTGGCAGCAGCCAGCAGCGCTGTAAGGATTAAGTGAGAACGTTGCAAATTTTTTATTTTATTTCCCCCCTGCTCCACGTCAAGCTTCGGGAAGAGGAGAAACATTGCATTGCTCTGCGTGTGTTATCATCTGAGGCGTTTGCAGCCTCCTCTATTTCTCCCTTCATGCCTTCTCCTTTCAGAGGATGGATGTTTTTTTCCTTTAGTTTTTTCCTAGATGGCAAATACTCCCCGTGTTGCGTTTTTGGGTGGCCACTTAGCAGGGGCAAAGACATAGGGATTAATATATAAATACGCAGGAGGTACCGCTGTCAGCTCTTCCTCTGCCCCAGGGTACCAAACCTTATCAGCTTTGTGCAGCTGAAAATCCACCTAATCCACCTGATAATTATCCCTTGAAAACCTGTTTGGTACTTGAAATCGAAGCTGGTTAGAAAGAGCCGAGGCAATGGGTGTTAGTGCTGCTCTGGCACAGTGGCTGGTGATGCATCAAGGCCTCCTGGTTTCTGCATCCATGTTTCTCATTTCTTCCTTACCGTACTCGCGATCAGCTTCCCTGCAAGGACTCGTCTCCTTCCTCCTCCTCATCCTTCAAATGCCTGGTGTTGGCTGAGCCCCTCGTTAGCGGGTTTGCTGAGCTGGATGAGGTTTGGGTGGGCTTTTATCACGGGATTCAGAGCAGGTTACCCTGCTGTTACCCTGTTTATGCTCCCAAGCAGCAAGAAGTCCACGTGCCCAAGTTTGCTGCTGATGCTCGACCCGACGGTTCAAGCTCAAGCATGCAAATGGTGGAAAATGAGGGATTTCCACAAAAGTTGGGCCATTTCTGTTGAAATACTTGCTTGGAGAAACATCTGAGGCTGAGACCTCTGGAAGGCAAAGCCAGTGCTTGATTGCAACCAGCCAGAAATGCTTTTACATCTCCGACCTTGTTTCTGCCAGTGCATTTCCGAGGACTTTCCTCATCTGTTTAAAGTACTTTGCAGCTACAGAAGCCCTCGTGATTGATAAAACATCCAAATAATCGCTGTAACGATGAACTAAACACCAACCGCATTGCCTAGAGACCTTTCCAACCGCCATCAACTTGTCTGCAATGCTGTCTTGTGGTGGAAAGGAGACAGTAAAATTCATCCGACCACGCTGGTGTTGCAAGGACGGGGTCAGGGAGGCAGGAGGGTGCAAGCTAGCGGTGCTCTGGGGAGAACTGGCCCCCAATCCTATTTTTCAGCAGCAATTCCCAAACCATTAGTCCTGAGTGACCTCTGAAATATTCCCTTGGGGATGCTCTGGGTTCAGCTGCCCATCAGGATTAAAAATGGGAATAATAACAGTTCTCCCAGACAGGGGCTCTGATGGGGAAGAAAAAAAATGTAGTAAAAAGGGTCTGGGCTGCTTGGAGGAGCTGGTATTGCAGACCATAAAAGTGCTGGAGATAGATGGAAATGTACAAACATCCTGAAAATAATTAGAGCATGATTTCATATTAAAATATCATATAATTATATAATAATTGTATCACTAAGCAGAAAATTGTCCTAACATTTTAATAACTGCTTCCTTTTTTTTTTTTTCCTTTTTTCTTCTTTTTTTTTCCCTCTCCTTGACAAGAACATTTGATGCAAAATCAGGCCAGGGAGAGGGGGAGAGCAGAGAATATGGTTTTGTGGCCACCTTAGCTCGGATGACAGCCGCTGTCTTGCTTGTACTGGGGTGGAAAAGCGTCGGTACAGGGAGCAAACCAGATAGGATGAGGGGTAATGGCTTTAAACTGAAAGAGGGTAGATTTAGATTGGATACGAGGAAGAAATTCTTCACTCTGAGGGTGGTGAGGCACTGGAACAGGTTGCCCAGAGAAGCTGTGGCTGCCCCATCCCTGGAAGTGTTCAAGGTCAGGTTGGACGGGGCTCTGAGCAACCCGGTCTACTGGAAGATGTCCCTGCCCATGGCAGGGGGGGGGGTTGGAACAAGATGAACTTTAAGGTCATCTTCCAACCCAAATCAGTCTATGCTTCTATGATTCTTTTGCCTTCTTCCAGCGCTGGGTCCGTCGCACTCAAATAACTCTCATTTCCTTGCAGACCGGTTGGACTTTCCATGTTTCTCTACCCTATAGGTTTGTGTGTATTCCTGTCTTTAATTTTTGGGTTTTTTAGGTTTTTTTGGCCACCGCTGGATCTTTTTTTTTGCATCCAGAACGCGGGTCCCAAAAAGCCAGTTTGCTTTCTTGCAGTTCTGCTCAGTTTTGAGCCAAACCCTCCCCCGTGGTGCGTTTCTACGGCGGGGTTTTGGATAACCTAAAATAAAACCTTCCTTCCGAGCAAGTGAATGCAAAGTAGAAAAGCAACCCCGTGCTGCGGAGCCGTACCGCAGGTGCCTCCAGGTTGTCTTCTCCCCTCCACGTAGGTTTGATCTCCCAGGCAAGGCTGTGGTAGTTGCTGCAGCCAAACATCCATCAATCACTTCTTAGCAGGGAAGAAAAATGACATGTCAGTCATGAGTTTGCCTTTCAGCAAAAAAAGCTTGCCGATCTGTTTATTTTTTTTTTTAATACGAGCAGGTTTGCATTCAAATGGAAATGCAGAGCGCGGGCACGGGATGCAGCTGCAATGCCCCAGCGTGTCTGCAAGGTGCTGGAGGGCGTTTGGCCCCGTGCATGGTTTCGGGCGGGTGGTTTTGCAGCTCTGGGCACAAAAGGCATCGACCAGAGCTTAAGTGCCGGGAAGCCGCTGCCCTCCTTGGCTCGGCCACGCAGGTCCTGGCCGTGCTGGCGAGAAGCGGGCTCTCGAAAGCAAGGCTAATGAGTTTATTAGCTCATATTTCTCCTCACAAAGTGCCTCTGTGGCCCCACTCTGCCCATCTCCCTAAGATGCTGTATCCTGTTAGAGAGATTTATTTTTTTTCTCTGCCGTTCAAGAGGGCAGTTTTTCCATCCATAAAAAAATTGGGTGTTGAGGTTTGCTAGGGATGGTCGTTTGCGGGAGGTGAGGAAGAGGAGCACGTCCCTACGTGAGCATCCCGCCCTCGCCGCTGAGGCGGGTGACAAACCACCATGGGGTCTTCAAGTCCTAATTTTTCATAGGGAATTGGCTCTCGGTTGAGGATTTAAGGGCAGATTTCCTGCGTTAGGGAAAGGTTTTGTTCCCCGTGCAGGCAGTGCATGGGGGTAGCACCAGGAACGGGGCCATTTGCCTGCAGAAGATGTTGGGTTGGGAAGACTTAACGATACCTGTTCCTCAAAATAAAATGATCTGCAGTTGCCCTCCTTTCGGATGGAAGCACCGCGTTCAAATGCAAACCATCGTTAAGTTTTGCAAGCTCAGGGTTGCCCAGCTCCTTGCAGGAGCGACCCGATGCCCGTGCACCTGCATTTTCCTTGCACCTTTCCCACCATGTTTAATGTTTTAAACCCACCACGTTTAATGGGCTTGACGCTAAAGCGCACAACTTTACGCCAGACGCCATTTAATGACGTTGGTAATGCCGT